TTTGACGAAGAGCGATATTAATCCTAAAGATCGTCAAAATTACAATTCATGTATTAAATTAATATCAGACGATGTAATATATCTTCTTAATGATAATATGGATACCAATGGAACAGTTGTTTATTTGACATTGCTAAAAATGATAGTAAAAGCATATATTGATAAATCAACAAGTATTCATGAACATAAGTCTATTTTTAAAATTTAACAACGAAAAAAATCAAAATTATTAATTCTTAACAATTTCTATGCATTTAGGTATTCAATCAGCATGGTGTGTGGTATTTGTTTGTCGTCTTTGGTGGTCTTATTTAGAAAAAATATCAGCTTTGAAATCATCGAAAACCAGTCAAACAATAAGTGAAAGAAATAATAAAATTAACAAATACTTTATTACTAGACCCGCATATATATCTGTTGAGTTGAACGCACATAATTTATTGTATTTGGTTCTATTAGTGAAACAACAACATTTACCTAAACAAAAATTAATTAATATACATTCATTCAATTCACAACCATGTGAGTCATTATTTAGAGATGCAAGATCGTTAAGCAGTACGTTCTCAACGGTCGTCAACTTTACCGTAAAAGATTTTATTCGGCGTTCACAAAAATTATCAATATTGGATCAATTTAGATATAATCAATTGGAAAAAGATCTATCCTTTCCCATACACCACAAACACAAACGCGAACATCCATTACTATCTTTACATCAATTAGATGAAATTGATACATTAGATATTCAACAATTAATATCAAATGCATATGATCAAGCACTACATCTTGTTAAACATTCAAAAATACTAGATACATTAAATGAACATAAAATAAATTGTATAGATGATCTAAGTAATTATATCTTCAACTTGTTAAATAAAAATTCAAGAATGATTAATTATTCTTTCCGAACAGAAAATAACACCACTGAAGAGTTTGGATTGGATGAAGAGAATGATGATAATGACGTCGTAAATTATGCACCAGACGACCTTACAGATGAAATTCTATTTGATTCTCAAAACGACGCTGTTAGCGATGATGATGAAAATATATTAAATTCAATAAAATCAGATTTGAATGGAATAAGAATAGTTGATAATATTAATCCGACTCTAAGACAATTGTATTTCAAGGTCAAATAAATGACAATATTAAGTATCTTCATAAACAATCGGCCTGCTGGCTGCAATCAAACCAGAGAACGAAATTATCAAGTGATCGTTTATCTCCTGTCATGCAACAAACATCTGATCATAATTACTAAACTTATTGCTCTCATTTTTTCTGTTTTACTAGCGATTACTCTTGTTAGAAGTAAATAAACTAATCGTTCATATTTTTCCAACATTATTTAATTTTGTTCTATGTATATCCAGATCTTTGAGAATACTTTAAAGTACTTGCGCGTAATTTTAAGTACTTTGTCGTAATTTTAGCTACTTTGACGTAATTTAAAAGTACTTAAACGTAATTTAAAAGTACTTTGGGCTACTTTGAGCTACTTTACGCTACTTTATGCTACTTTACGCTACTTTAAGCTACTTTGAAGTACTTTTTGTACTTTACTGTACTTTTCTACTTCAAGTCTGCCGTTTTCCCCTTGCCTTAAAGGCATCATGCATATTGTGCGTATTATAGCCGCGAGACCTATTATTCTAACCGTTATTGCCATGGTGCACCATATGAGCAAAGCGTCCATTATGATGATTACGATGGTTATACCCACTATACCCATTAGGCACATGATGCACGTTGTGACCATTATGACTATTACGGTCATCACGACCACTGTGCACATTATGCCTACCATGGCCATTATGCCGATTATACCTATTAGACCCGTCAGGCCCAATATGCACAATATGTCCATTACATCCATTACCCACATCATGTACAATAGGTCTACAAGGACCGATCTGTTCATCAGAAACATTATGTTCGTTACGCAGTTTATGGCCATTATACCGATTATCCTTAACCGTTCTACCCATTACAAACATTATTCTCGTTACGCAGTTTATGCCCATTATGCCCATTATGCCCATTATGCCCATTATGCTCATTATGCCCATTATCCCCCTTGTGCACATTATCCACATTATGGCCATTATCCACGACATGCCCTTTGTATCCAGTATGCCCACTCTTCCGATTATGCCCCTTACAACAATTGTGGCAATAATGCATATTATGTACATTACTCCGATTAGACACATTATCTACATTATTTCCATTATGGCCATTAAGACTATCATGCTGATCAGGCCCATTCGATCCAATTGGCCATTATGGGCATTGTACACATTATGACCGTTCCGCACCTTATATTCGTGATGTCTAATTTGCAAACTATGCTGATTAGGTACGTAATGCCCATTATGCCCGTTATGGGCGTTGCGGCTGTTATGGCCGTTTTATCCATTATGCCCGTGGTGCCTATTATGAGAAATGTGACAATTATGGCCATTATGCGTATCGTGCTCATTATGACCATTGTGTCCGTTACGGCGATTACAGCGATTACGGCAATGATGGTCATTATTCTTTTATCCATACAATGGCAATTATGGCCGTAACACCTAAGAAGCCTGTTATATATATTGTATCGCTTATGAACATTTTGTCCTTTAGGCAAGTTATGGACATTATGGTTATTGTGCCCACTATGTCAATTACGTTTATTCTGGTCATTACATCCTTGGTCGGCGTTTTGCTCAAAATGCACAATATGGCTGCTGTGACCATAATCGATATTTTGATAATTAAATACAGTATGACAATCATTGTGACTCTCCCCTTTATGGCGATTACGCAGATTATACCCATTATGCCCACTATAGCCATTATACCCCATATACGCATTATGGTCATTACGCGTATATTGGCCATTACGCTGAATTTGGACGTCATGGCCATAATGGCCACTATAGCACCTTAGGCCACCACCGGAATTATGGCCATTAAACGTGTTGCGGGCATTATGCTCATTATGGCGGGTATGGCATTATTCACATTATGCTCATGCGCATTTCACGCCCATTACGCATATTGTGCCGTTCATGCCTATCGCGTGCAAAATGTCCACTCTCATCATTATGTCCTTTATGAGCATTATCACCATTCGACCCATTATGCGTATTATGTACAGTGCGGTAAATATACCGAGTACGGCTACCGCAGTCACTATGATCATTGTAGCTATTACGTTCTTGATGCTCACAGTCTCAGTTACCTCCAATATCAATATTATGGCCAGTATGGCCATTGTGATTATTGCGGCGATTTCGCACAATTTGGATATTATGCCCATTGTTCGTATGTTACCGCGATTAAGCCCATTATGGTCGTTATGTATATTATGGCCATGATGCCCATTATGCTGTTAATGCTAATGATGTACATAATGTCCATTATATCCATTATGACTATTATCGCTGTTAGGAGTACTATGCCATTTTTGCTCATTATAACCATGGTACACATTACACCCATTATGCGCTTTATGCTCGTTTTGCCCTTAATGCTCGTTTTAGTTATTACAGACATTTAGCGTATTATCAGTATTATGCCCATTGTGCCAGTTGTGCACATAATACTGATTATGGGTGTTGTAGTCGTTATCGCTATCATG